ATTGAAATAAATATTTTATAAGGGAAGGAAATTAGGAGCTGGACTGAACTGAATTGAACTGAACTGAGCTGAACTAAACTAAACTGAACTGATTTGAATTAAATTTCAACATAAGAGAACATACCCTTAGTAGAATTTGAAGCGGGACAAATTGCTAATATAATGAGATTAACATGGAGAAATCATTACTAAAGATTTTATTTGAAGGTGGCTTTCATGATTGACAACATAATTTTTATGTATATAGTCATTTGAAGTTTAGCCTCAATACCAACATTTGATTCTAGAACCAAAAATGCTTAAATAAAGTTGGTCGAATGCTCCAAACCTTATACTAATTGCAGGGTCGGCCCGGAGGGGTAGGCCTCGAGTGCGACCGCCTAGGGCCCACGCTAAAAAGGTGCCCAAAAATTCAAAAAAAAAAATCAATTTGCATAGCTGTAGAATTTAAATTGTCTAAACTGTAGTTTTTACTCGTTAAAAAATAAGCTACTTTTAAAAAAGATAATAAATGCATTTAGTTAGCAATTAATATTAAATTACTTAGATGTCAATTAGGTGGAGATAATTATGCAATATAACCTCTTCTTCTTCTTCTAATCTTCCGATTTTATGAGTATCTGTTTCAAAATATTAATCTTTTCAATTACACCGTTTCATATTTATTTAATTACCGAAATATTATGCAAAGTTATTACTCCAGTATTGTGTATGGAGACTTATTATTCAAATAATTTAAGTTATTTTCATTGTCTTATATTTAAAGATATTGCGTGTAAAAAAATTTTTTTACGTAAGGGGCCCTTTTCTTACATTATGCCTAGAGCCCATAAATTTCTAGGAACGGGGCTGACTAATTAGTTTGAGTGTTACCCAAAACGACCAAAGTACTATATAACATGTGTAAGGGTACTTAATTAGTAAATTTGTTATTAAGTATCAAGTATTTTTTTTTTTTTTTTTTTTTTTACGGGAAGTGTGAAGTATTCTTATTCATACAATCATACTTCTGTAAAAAAATTGTTATAAAAAAAAAAGGAATAGCAAACATGTTATATACTTGTATGAGGTCTAATTAACCTGTATAAAGGGAGAAATTGAAGGATAGATGTGAGGATGTCATTTATTGAGTCTATTGTAAAACAACACTTATTACAAACATGGTAAGATAAAATTACAAGTAAGCATGGTAAGATTATGCGAACTACTAAGTACTAACACAACACAGGAAAGGAAACTATGATACAAACAGCTAATAAAAGGCCTAACATAAGTAGACCGAATAATACAAATCTTTATTTTACTTGTTCAAATTTTTTTGCACGGAAGCCACGGACCGAATAATATGCTACTCCGTACAATATAAAACCACAATATGCAAAAACATAAAGCTAAAGGTAAGCCAAAGATAAAAGCAAATCGATAAGCAGTAGGATAAGGTTTACATCCGGTCCTGAAAGCCTTTGTGCATTCTTCTTTACTATGATGGCCGCAATAATCCCCCTGATAACACCAGCAGGGAGCTCCATCGGTAGGCTCAGGGCATTTGACTTCCGAGCACGGATATTTGGGATATCAACCCACAAAAATACCGCGATTCATCACCACCGCCGCTGTCATTTACAGCCGAATTCGTTCCTCTACAATTTAGAGGGATCATCAAGATGATAATAGTAGCAAGAATGGTAGTTGATACCATTGATTATGCTTTGAAACTGCAATTATTAGAAAGAGAATAATGGCGTATTAGTATAATTCATTGAGAATTTTTTTTAAATTGAAGAAATTAAGTGCAAGAAGGATATAAAATCTGAAATTTAGATCTTATGTACCATTAAACTAATAAATAAATAAATAAAAAACGAAATCAAACACTAAACTTGTCACCCACCCACCAAAACCCCAATTTCGTGGCCCTGTGTCCAGCTACAGTTACGAACAAACCTGAGCTCAAATGAACGATCCAACCGTTGAATTTGAAGATCTATGTGTCTCCAACAATCTGACCAATTTTCAGCACGATCGGACGGTCGAAATTCCGGCAACGATCAATTTCGTGGATGCTCTTCCAGAAAATTCGTGATGAAGAACTTCACTACTTCAAACCTTCTCTTGTTTCTGATTTTTTGTGGGTGGAAATTCTAACATTTGATGGATGAGATTATGAGAAACTGAACTGAACTAAACTAAACTGATTGGAGTTGAATTGAACTACGCTGAAATTAAGATGAAGTGAACAGATCCTAAATATATATAATCGGCCTTTAACAATGTCATATATCTTTTCCCATGTTTTTGGTAGAATTATTTAAAAGTGGGACAAAGTGCTAATATAATGAGATTAACATGGAGCTAGAAATCATTATTAAAGATTTTGTTTGAAGGTTTTTATGAACCATATATGGCCTTAAGGTCTAAGGGTAAAGGTAATGGATAAACAATCAATATCAAATTAAGCTAAAAATTAAACAAATTCATGCATTGTTAAGACTGTTTTAACACCCAAGTTTTAAATTCTGAATTTGGTCTAGTACTCCCTTCACATTGATTAGTAAACTTAGGAACACTAGGAGAAGTATTGTTTATTAACTTATTTGTTTAGAGCCAAAGCTTATAGAAGGAAAATGTTCTCCACTCTCATTGATTAGTTAACTTAGGAACATTTGAATTTGCTGCATTTTAGGCACTTGCTCTTGCTAAGCTAGCTTATAAGTACTAAAAATTACATGCAATTCTTCCTCATCGCCTTTTCCTTGTGCTCATCATGTGGCTTTTCACAAGGAAATTAAACAAATAAAAGAATTATGTACTTCCTACTAAGAATGCTCGATATGACCGATTTTTTAGAGCCTTTTGGAATAGATAGAACGATCCTAGTAGGACATAGAGTTATCAATTCGGGTAAACGGATTGGGTAAGAGTGGGTTAGGTCAACTCGAGTCGGCCCAATTTGGGTTAATGCCGTAACCTATGTTGTTCGGATTGGGTCATGCTTGAGTCGGGTGACTCAGATCACACCAGGTCATACATCTTATGAAGAAAACTCACATTATATAAATCATACCACCGAAATGAAGAAAAATCAAAGCAACCAAAAGCAAGAAAGCTAAGTTCACATTCGACATTCATGACACATAATGGATATGCAATAATTTCACAACTTGATTATGTATCATGGAAGTTGTGAAATATATAATACCCCACAATTGATTCACAACAAAAATCCATCATGCACACTAATTACAAGAATAAAAAATTAAAAAAATAATAAATAAAAAGCTAAGAGTTTGAACTTTGAAGCAATAGTTTTTTTTTTAGAGTAAAAAAAGACTGAGAAAATAAAAATAATCTATAATCAAATCCTGATAGAGTTATGAGAAAGAGAATGTTGGAAAGCTTAATTATATTGATGTGATTCCATGGGTATATATAGTACATGAGTAAGCAATATAATATGACTAGATGCATCAGAGTACTTATCTAGAAACATTAGCTAAGAATAAGGGATATCTTTGACTATCAATGTAAAGAGTAAATCAAGGGATTGCTAAGAATAAGGGATATCTAAAGTCGCCTCCCTCTTCTCTCTTTTCTCTCTTCTCTCTCCTCTCTTTAGGGTTTTAATTTTCTTGGCCGTTTAGGCCGGAAATAGTCTAATTTCTTCGGAAATTAGACTATTTCTGACCCTTTTCTTCAATTTAATTTGCCTTTTTGTTATTTGATTGGTTTTGCTTTGTTTTGTTCTCTCCGTTTGTGAGAGTCTGTCCCAATTTTTTTGGGTTTTTCCCAATTTTTTGGGATTTTGATTCTCATCTATGGATGAGAATTTTAATTTTAGGGTTTTAATAATAATTGAGAAGGTGATTCGGATGCATATGGGTTTAGGGTTCGTCATCAACTCTACGATCAAAACATCAGCGCAGATTGCGAAGGTCTCTACTTGGAAAGATGCAAAGATATCGAAAAACACTACTCGCGTCAAGTTTGAAGCGGTGGAGTGTGAGCTATGCCCAATATGCAAATTAGTTATGATTTTGATTGTAAAAGTTATGTTATTTTCTCTAGATCTGTGGTTTACAAATCTTTATTATTGTTGTAAATGCCGTATGGCTATTTATTAATGATAATATTCTTCTTCTTGTCAAAAAAAAAAAACAATATCAATAAATATGATTTGATCAAATCCTTTACACGCCCCCGCAAGATGGACGGCTAAAGGGAAAGTACAATCTTGTAAAATGAATGTTCTTCTTGATTGTTGATTGCCACTTCAAGATGTTGGTGGTTCTTCAATTGAGAGTTTTACGTACCAAATTGGGAGTTAAAAGAGATTTTTTTTTTTTTTGAAGGAGGAGGAATTGCATGCGTGAAGTAGGATTTTAACTCTAGGAGGGGAAGAGGGGAAGTGAGATATAGAGGGGATGAAATTTTGATCATTTTTATTGGAGAAGAATTACATTTAGTATCATTAAAAGAAAAGAGTTTGAGAATTTCTATAAAAGTTTGGAGAAGTGACTTTATATTTGGCAACACTTGGTAGATAGACTACGTAGGCCAAAAGGGGATTGTTTTTCCATAAGGGGGGTGGTTTGGAGAATTGATTTTATGTTCGACAACACTTGGTAGACAAATTATAGGGTGTCGAAAAGAAAAAAAAAGATAATTAGCATCTCTTGGTATATGAAATACGGGGTGCTAAAAGAGTTGAGCGGAAATTTGATTTGGGTTTGAAGCTTTCCGAGAGGATAGGGAGCACGAATATGGTCACTGTCATTTGTCGGCATCGGCAAAAGGTTTTGATAGTGTAGCCATGGTTATAGCGAAAGCAAGAAAAGATGGATCAAAAGCTCATGATACCATGATAGAGTTATGAGAAAGAGAATGTTCGAAAGCTTAATTATATTGATGTGATTCCATGGGTATATATAGTACATGAGTAAGCAATATAATACGACTAGATACATCAGACTATCAGAGTACTTGTCTAGGAACATTCAATCTAAAGAGTAAATCAAGGGATTGCTAACTATAAACAATATCAATAAATATGATTTGATCAAATCCTTTACAAATCCCAGAAATTAGTAATTATGATTTAACAGTTGATCAAATCATGGCACAAATATTCAGAAATTGTATTAGCGCCAAAAGCTTTGAAATCTGAACTAAATTAGAATCGAATAAAATAATTAAACAAAAATTTTATAAATCCAAATCTTAATAGGCCTAGAAATTGATATTGATAAATCCAACCAAAAAAACGCAATCAGAGAAAAGGATGGGAAAGGGCACAAACAGGAGTGTTGACGACAGAAGACAATCGGAAAAAGGAGATTCAACAAAATTAAAGGCGACTTCATCCGCGCCAAGAAAACCAACCATCGTAATAATCTTATTACTCGTACAAACATAACTACTCCATTATTTATGCTTTGGTACAACCACCATCAGATAAAAGTATTAGAGTAAATTAATAGAATAATAAGATATTGCTTGCATATATTAATGAAGATAAAGAAGCCTTATATAAGGCCATTACAACTGACTAAAGCTAAAAGAAAGCAAAGAAAGTGGGAATATTAAACTACCCACGTTACGATACTTACTCCTAAGTCTTAGGAAAATAAACTGGAAATCCTAAGCATGTTAAAAATAGAAAAGTCAAACAACAACTTTGAAGCATAATTTCCACTAATTTAGCCAACACCATCGTAATAATCTTCACAACACAGCTCCTTAGTATCATGACATGACCAGTCAAGACAACAATATTGTAATTTTCCTTTGCGAGTTACTGGCGCGCATACATCAAGAACTAAATCTATGGATCCAAATTCATGCTCAATGTTATTCAACATACTCTTCTGAATATTCAAGCTTCCATGGTTTTGAGGAGGACCTACACATTTAGGCACTTGCTCTTGCTAAGCTTGCTCAAAAATACTAAAAATTTCATGGAAATCTTCTCCATCGTTTTTTCCCCGTGTTCATGTGGCTTCTCACAAGGAAATTAAACAAATAAAAGAATCGTGTACTATCTTTGTCCTACTAAGAATGGTGATATGACCAATTTTTGAGAGTTTTTTTTTTGGGATACATACAACGATATTAATAGGATAGAGGAAGTATAACCTTATTTTATACTGAGTAAAAAGTAAAGAAAGTTAGGAAATTTGACTCATTAACACTTGGGAAAATCGCTTGGAGGTGGTATCAAAGATTCATGTGGTCCTTCGCCATTATCCACCAAGAATGCCATTTTTAACCCCCATGTTGTATGAATCTCCAAATGGCAATGCAAGAACCAAACCCCTAAATAATACGTAGTAATTAAAAACATAATTAACAGTATGCTTAATTAACAAGTATAGGTCCATAATTAAGTTGATTGAACATTGAAAACTACACGTACTCGAAAATTACCTGGATTATCGGCTCTAAATCTGATAGCAACCCATCCACCTGATGGTACTCCAATGGTGTTCCTTTCAACAGGATCGACGAGATTAAATTTCTTTGGATCCTTCTTAGGGTTATAATTTCCCACACCTTTCCCAACGACGAAGAAATTAAATCCATGCAAATGGAACGGGTGGTTCTCCGGAGTTAAAATCGCGGTATCTTGCAACACAAGTTGAACTGTTGCATTATAAGGAAGCCTATACACTCTAGTCCCGGTCGTGGTACCGAGATTTGTAACCTGATTGCCGGTGTAATTAAATGGTGTAGGAGGGTTTGGAGGAAAAACATCCGTGAATACACCACTCGTGTTAAAGTAATGTGCTTGTAGAAGAGAAATTGTTGGTAAAACAAATGTAACATTGTTAATATCTGCTACCACCCTAGACCCATTTACACAAGTTGAGCAAGGGTTAACACCTAAACCAACTGCAAATAATAATTTGTGATAAACTTTTTGTGGCACCTTAGCCGGGAACTCTTTCGTGTTAAGGGCTCGAAGGGAATTGGTGAAGTTATCAGCCACTCGAGTGGCATTGATAGGTGGTGGCGCGGTGAGGGTGGTGGATAAGGCCGCGGACCTTGATGAAGGGTAACGAACCGTGGCCAAGCCGGTTGCGTTATCCTCTGGGATAGGTGCATCCATAAAGGGTGATACTACGACCAAGTACTTGCCCATTACTTTAGTTTTGGCCTCAAGGATCACATTAGTGGTTTGGCCTGGTGATATGACAATAGTGTCTGTTTTGAAGGGTTTAACGTAGGTGGCATCGACTTCGACGACAGTGAGATGATGGCCGGCTATCTTGAAGAAAAGTTCTTCATTGAGTGCGGCATTGATAATTCGAAGCATGTATTTCTTCCCCGGTTTCACATGTAAATTGAACAATTCTGCATCATGTGAATGTATATACTACCTCCGTTACAGGTTATGTGCAACGATTTGACATAAAGCAGAGAGGAAAAATGTCTAATCGTTGCACATAACGTGTAACGGAGGTAGTATGATATACAAAGATAAAATTATGATTATAACTGTTGAATTGACCACCTTAATATTTTAATGATTGACTTACGTAAAACAAACTCTGACTAATGATGTTTATAAGTCTTGGTTGAACAGAAAGATTCAGGTATACAAATATATGTTCCGGAGTAGGAACAACAGAGTTTGGAAGACTTGATGATGAATGCAAGCTTTCAAGATGTCCTCACAACTCTAGTATACTTAGTTATTCAGTGCATGAACTTAAGAAACAAAAGTGTTGGAAGGAACTCATGAGAAACTCAAAGTTCCTGATGGAATCTGGAATTCTTGAAGGAACTTGACTGATGCTCAGAAAAGTGTTTAAACGATGGTTTTCAAAAACAGTTTTCATATCCCTTAATTTAAGGAAAAGATAAAATCAGTTTTGAAAAAGATTTATTTTATAAATAAATAAAATCAAAATAATTCATTAATTTAAAAGATAAGTTTTTAAATTAATTAATTATTTAGTTATCTTTTAATTAATAAACAATTATTTTTTTTAATTAATAAATAATTATCTTTTTAAATCCTTAACTGATTTTTGACTTAGTAAAAATAACTGTTTACTTAAATTAAGGAAGCACGTTGATTTAGGAGTCAAGTTAGTGAAATCATGGTTCTCAACTTCCTCCACTTACATCCCAACTTCCCAGTATAGGTGAACGTGGGATTGAGGGGGAAGTAGGAACATGATGGAAGCTTGGATAATCTCCCTATAAAAACAGATCAACGTTAAGTTTTGAAAGTGTGGAAAAACAATTTAAGTATTCTGAGTGTAGAGTTTCAAAGTGTTTAAAACGAGAAGTTCCTTCCATCCTTAGTCTCTTAAGTTCCTTAGGAAATATTTGTAATCATTGTGTAATTGGGATTGGGTTGTGAGAGTTGTAAAGTGTGAGACTTGAGAGAGTTCTTTACACTGTACAAGTGATTCGGAGTAGAATCACAAAGTGTGAGAAACTGTGATTGAGGGATCACAGTTGGATAACTTGAGTTCCCCACGGAACTTGAGTCTAGGCAACGTATTAGTGATTGTAAATCATTTTTACATAGTGAATTTATTCATTGCCTATCTCAGTGTCTTTTCTCTTAGTAGTAGATTTAATTCCGCAAAATTTACCATAGTCTAAATACACTACAATTCACCCCCCCTCTTGTAGTATACATTGTTCTATCAATAACATAAGTACTAATTAGGGATATTGTTTCTTACTTTGAGAGTTACAACCCTTAATAGGTCCAGGATGTCCGTTAATTGTATGAGCATCTGAGACATTGGGTGCTAATCCTGATTTTAGTACTTGGTTGATCACGGCTTCAACATCCGATTTCCACCATTCACCTATATAGGTAATCCAAGATGATAATTAAAAATCATTTTCGATAATCAATACCGTTGGAATTAATTTCCAACATTAATGTTATATGTTATGTACTTAAGTAGTTATGTGTGGCTTGTCACATACTCCCATGTGGGTAGAATACGACGTAAGTGAAGTGATGGTTATGACTCTTATAGTATTATATTCGTACAGGCTTAAGCGGCCTAGAAGTCATTGGTCTTTTATTTTTTTATAAAATTTTCTCCAATAAATATTGATATGGTGAATTTAAAATATGATCCAATGAACTTTTACCTAAGATGATGACATTTTCCTTATCAGGTTTTGGGAAAGGATAAGGAACACCAAGTTTGGGCAATATAACAATGGCACCATGGACAGTGGCCCTAAGAATATGAGCATGATAGAAAAGGGTTCCTCGTTGGCCGGTTAGCGTGAAATTGTAAGTGTAAGTTTGTCCTGGCTGTATTGGACATTGTGTTACGTATGCTGGTCCGTCCGACCACCCGGTGCGTATCTGCCTGATCCCATGCCTGCCCATTAAGCAATGAAGTTGTTAGACCGATCGAGTTGCTTAGCTTAAATACTAATTATATCATTTACTCAATATATATGTTGCACTTACCAATGAATGGTGAGGTTGTACTTGACATGATTGACCACCTTGACAAGCACGGTATCATCCTCCCTAGCCACGATCGTTGGCCCCGGATATTTACCGTTTACAGTCACTATTGATTTTGTTGAACACAGCCTTGTATAATTCTTCTCCACCACCTAGTATTTTGAAAAGCATACATGTAAATATTTTTTAGTGTTTAGAGAGTTACAAGGGTAGGTGATGAGAATCGATCCCAAGATCTCTTGAAATCGGGAGGGGAGCTCTAACCACTTGAGTTATCCCTCACTCTCGCACACATGTAAATATTGAAGGCAAATAAATAACCTATACTAGGCAATGAACTATGAAAGATGAGTCTATGAAAGTTGATCCGTAAAACCATAACAAGCATGTAAAAAGTATATATAAAAACGAAAATTCATGTACTCACATTAAACTTGTAGTGACGAACTCGACATTCAACCAATAATACTGGCAATAAGCAAGCAACCAACACTATTATTGTCACCCCTTTCTCCCTCCAACTCGCCATTTTTCTCGACCTCTAGTTTAAGCTATGTGCTCATACAAATGAAAAATTGATAATATTTTTTGGTATATATCTAACAAAGCTAAACCTAAGCTTTTTATAAGCGATTATGGGGGTGTGGGAATGAATTGAATAAAGGTGGTACATACAGTAGTTGCATTGCTACCGATTATTGCTAAGATGTCTTTGTTTCTTAGTTGGTAAAATGAAAGAAATTAAATTAATAAATAAAGTACTTAGAATGAATTGGCTGTAAGTAACACTTTAATTAGCTAGCTAATGTAACTAACGATGCTTTTTCTTGTAAACTACACCAAATTAGTTACTACGTATGTATACATGCATGCAATGTCAAAAAGTAGTGGAATTAGTCCCGTTTTTAAAGCTAAGGAATATAGCTTTTTTAAGTTAGAAATTTAGTACAGTATATTATAAATGTATATTGTTTATTTAAATTTAGAAATTTAGTGTATTTGTATTCCATCCGTAAGTGTTTTGTTTGTAAATACTTTGTATATTAATTGTGAGAACTGAATAATGTACATGAAAAAAGTTATATGCATGGTTTGTAATTTTGTTCAAGTTTCATGATTGGTAGTTGATGCGGAGTATTAGAAATTTAGATTGAGCAATTAATGGTTTTAGGAATAATTAATATACTCACTATAGAATTGAGTAATAATCAGCACTTTTGTCAAAGATCAATTATAGAGTTTTACTGGACCGAATTGATCGAACTTGACCGGAAGTCAAATACTTATACTCCGTAATATTCTACTCGAAGGCAAGATCGATTTTCTTTGAAATTTCCCTTCCTTTTCTACCTTTTGGTGTAGCCATTAGTAGTTCCTTTTATGAAAGTTTGAATCTTGAATCAATTCATATTAATACGTACATCATAACTTGTTGAATGTCATCTTGTTCCCCATTTCTATTGTATCAATCAATGGTTGTACTTATGGTTGTTCACATTAGGTTAATCGTACCATTAAGCCTTAACGGTACGGTTAACCGCTAGACAGGTTACTTAAAACACTGCACACGACCGTAACCATACAATTAAGGAACGGTTAACCACAACGATTTAACCATTTCTTAGCGGTACGGTTACTGGTTAACCGAATGGTTAATCGCTAACCAATAAAAAAATTATAAATTAAATTTTTTTTTTTGCCCTTTTAAGAGTTTCCACTCTAATACAAATTTTGATATAAACAATAATAAGTTCTAATTAGTTGATTACAAATTAATAAAGATGCTTTTAAGGTTAACTTAATCTATAAAATGAGTCGGTTATACCAGTTAACGGTTACGGTTTTTTTGCACACCCCTAGTTGTACTTGGCCTAATTCAAGTCAATGACACTATTTTGTGTCCTTTATAGAAAATTCTTAATTCATATAGAACCTAATTCCTGTTCATCCTATTTTTATTGATTTGAAATTATTTTTAATGAATTGAAATTATTTTTGCTGAACTTAAATTATTTGGGGAAGTTGAAAGTTGAAATTTTTACTGATTATCTATTATTTTTTTTCTTTATAATTACTGAATTTTACTAAAATGATTTTTTTTTTTTTAATGAACTTAAAATTATTTTTTACTGCATTATATTTCTTCTTTATATTTACTAAACTTTTTTATTGAACTAAAATTATTTTTACTGAGGCATGATGATAGTTAAAAGTTGAAACCAACAAACCAACCACAATCACATATTAAAATAAAATCTATGCGTAATGTTGGATTAAGTCAAACTTATAAACAATATTTCTCAAAAAAAAAAAAAAAAAAAGGTTTTGACAACATTCAAATAAGAGGTGGAGTAAAATGAACTCCAACAAGTCAGTTGAAGTTGTTGCTAACAGAAACACGAAAGTAACCCTCCAAAAAAAAAAAAAAAAAAAAAAAAAGAAGTTCATGATCCATCACCATCTTCCATTTCTCCAATTCCGCCATACTCAAATCTTCTACTCAACGCATTCAATTTTCAAATCTCCAGAATTTCAATTCAATCGATAAACCCTGGAAAACCCAGAATTTAAACATTCTGCAAATCAAATCAATACTAAAAAAAAAGTAATAATTCAATGCCTAGTCAAGAATCAAGTCAGCGGCTCACTGGTTCACCAATTAGATCTCGAATTTCATCTCTTATGTTTGCTATGTTCGCTACAATGGCTTCCCTTTACGTCGCTGGCCGGTATTAATCTACAATTTTTTAATTACAGTTTTATTTTTTAGTTTTTTTTGTTTGTGATTTCAGTGATCTTAAATTCATTCGTAATGTGCTTAAATTTTGTTTTTTGGATTTCGATTTTTTTTAATTTGTTTGTTTTTTTTTTTTTTTAAATTGGTAGATTGTGGCAAGATGCGGAGAATCGAGTTTATATGATTAAGGAACTTGATAAGAGGACTGATAAGGTATATTCTGATAATCTGTTATGGTTTTTGTTCCATTTTATTTGACAATTTTGCAAATGTGTATTATGTTTTGATCTACAACATTATTTTTTGATTTTTCTTTGGTTACATTTTACTTGTATATCTTTTAAACAATTGTTATTTTAGGAAGATAAAATTGTTAATGAATTGTGAGCGTCAATATAGTGTCGTTTACGACGATTTTATATGAATACGGCCCTGTTCTCTTCGGCTTATGAATTACGAGAGAAATCCGTTATGATCAGCTAAAATAACTTCAGGTCTATGGCCTTGTTTGATTCAAATTCTTTTGTTTGAACTTAAATTAACCAAACTTAACTTATCTTTGTCTGAATTAGTTTCTTTTGTATGACTTACCTGAACTAATTATTTTCCGAAACAAGCTAGAATAAGCTGAACTTAATAAGGCCTAAGATTAAGGCTATGTTATTGGAATGATATCATAAGACCTATTTTGTCTTCGAGAACAAAAATCCTTGAATGTGGAAATTGTCTAAAAACTTCTTGCTGAAAAACCTTCTTTTTCTTCCTCTGATCTTATCGTAAGCTATTTGACAAGTCAAACTAAGTCAAACACATTATGGCTTAAGTGAGGATAAAATACATGACCTAAGTTGATTTTTGTGAAGAGTGGTATAAAGGATCCTAAGCACGATACAGAGCTTGTTGAAAAGGATTGAGAAAGTATTTGGGATTTGTTTGAATAGTGGTGTGTTGTGGCTAGTGGTCATTGCTTAAACTGTCCCTTTTTTCTGTCAAAGAATATTACGAGTATATAGTCCATAAGAAACGTAAATTTGTTTCTGACAGCATCTCAAAGTTTGAGAAGGGATCACTTATAAAGTTACGAGCATCAGACTATACATGTATCCTTTTTTATTACACTGTCTATATCTTTTGAGCTGTATAGTGTGACATATCAAGTGCCTCAATCTCATAATAGTTGCCTCCATTAGAAGTTGACATGTGGGTATTATCTCTTTGTGATGTCTTCAACCATTGTGAAGGATTTTTGTTGTGTTTTGTTTTGTGTTAGAGAAATTGGGGGAGTGGAAGATCGTATCTACATGTTCAGGTTCATTAGTCTCTTGCGGAATTGCATAGAGAAGGGGTGGGCAATGATGTTTACTGACTGTTATTTTTGTCATGATTTATGTATAAAGTTTGAGTCCTTTATGTTTCACTTTACGTATGAATTTTTAAGCTTAATTAGGAAAATTGTGTAAAACTATACTTTGTGCAAAGAAATTTAACAACAAATTTTCATTCCCAGGGTCAGACAGCTATATCTGTTGATGACACTTTGAAAATAATAGCTTGTCGGTAAGTTATTTACTCTTTTGCTCTGTTGGGGCTAGGGGGTTGCATGTGTTGATTTTTGAAATCTTATTACGATGTCAATTTATAATTTTTTGCAGGGAACAGGAAAAGAAACTGTCAGCCCTCGAGATGGAACTGGCTGCAGCTAAAAAGGGGGGGTTTATTTCAAAATACTCAACAGGGAATGATGCTACTGCTAAGAAGAAGAAGCTTTTAGCTGTTATAGGAATTACTACACAGTTTGGTCGAAGGAGGAACAGAAATGCTATACGAAAAGCATGGATGTCTACTGGTAATGGATTTGATTTCTGTAATCTACACTATGTAAGCTTGATGTAGCGATTCACTTTATTATTTTCTCAAAGGAAGGTGTAATTTGTAGTTACATTTGTGCAGGAGCTGCATTGAAAAAGCTAGAGAATGAGAAGGGCATTGTTCCAAGATTTGTGATTGGAAGAAGGTCTATGTTCTGTTGGTTTGAATCTATGTTAAATCTCTTTCCTGATTTCTTAAACTTAAATTGAATATAAGCAATCTTGCAGTGCAAACCGTGGAGACAGTTTGGACAGAGATATTGATGTTGAAAGCAGGCAGTCCAACGATTTCATCATTCTTGTATGTTGAATATCTGATATCTTTTGTTATCCTAATCTTGTCTCACATGGATACCTATCTTGTTCAATCATGAGCTGTGCCCATGTAGGAATGCAGGATCTTGTTTGTAGTCTTTGTACTATTTAGCTGCGGACTGAGAGTTGGTGTACTACCTTGAAGTGTGAAATGCTGCGATACTCATTATCTTTTACATTGTGGCTGGTGTTAAGCTATTGTTGCTGTGAATAAATTCATCCATTATATTTTCATTAGATAGAAACTTCTGTACACCTTCTAACATGTACTTGAATAGTTGAATGTGATTAGCTTAAAGTAATCAGCTTTTTTTTTTTAATGGTTTTTGTACCAACTTCAGGATGATCATGTAGAGGTGCCAGAGGAGATTTCTACGAAGACAAAATTGTTTTTTTCTCATGCTGCTGAAACATGGGAGGCTGAGTTCTATGTCAAGGTCAATGATGATGTTTATGTTAAAATAGGTTTGTATATCCAACTGATTCTGGACTGGCATGTAAACACAAGTAGATTGGCACACATGCTCACACACCTTTTTTTCTCAAGACAAATCAATCCCTAAATTGCTTGCTTTGTCGTGCAGATGGCCTCGCTGCAATTCTTTCTGCAAATTTGGATAAACCTCGTATTTATATTGGGTGCATGAAGTCAGGGGAAGTTTTCTCTGAGCTGTAAGTGCAGTCCTTACTTTGAAACTTGAGATGGTTATATTTTATTGTCATTGCATAATGTAAATTATATATTTTTGAAACACATTGCCTATGAATTTCCAGGGGTAATAAATGGTATGAACCAGATTGGTGGAAATTTGGCGATGGGAAATCGTAAGTTAATCTACCTTTTAGCTTCCCCCCCCCCCCCCCTTCTATGTTTTTTTAAATTATGTGTATAATTTCAGGACATTTATGCTTGTTTCTTACTCTGTGCTTATATTATCTGTGGTGTCAAGTGTTAATTATGAAGAAAAGGATTTAAGCACGTTCATGTCATGAATTCTTTCTTTCTTTTTTCTTCACCTGAGAACTTAGCATTAAACCACAAGTCCACAATATTCCTGTTTTCCTTGGCTTTGTTTCCTGTTCTTAATGGCTTTATTACATCATTATTATGAAATATTTTAATCTATGAGTGTACCAATAGTCCAATACAGATTATTAATAAGGGAAACATTTAAAGTATTTTACATACAGAGTATGAAATATTTTAACTGAAAATAGGTTTTTTTTTTAAAAAAAAAAAAAATTCTATCAATGTAGTTTGGGCAGAAACTCAATGCAGTTTCTTGCATGGAATTAAGAATGTCGCCCTTTTATGAGGAGGAAGGATAAAGGTTATTCGGATTGCACTCAGAATAGTTAAGTGCCTCATTGGAGAATGAAAGGAGGGGTGCTCATCCTTGGCTCTTTGCTGAGCTTTTCTTCTTTAATCGCCTGACCAAATAATTTTGATTCGTTAATGGAGCAAGTGTACAGTATGTATTGATTCATTTTCTACATATTGAGATACATCTGAATCCCCCTATGTCCCAGGAACAAGAGCTTTTAATGTTGCTGTTGCTGTTTTTTCTTTGACTACTTTTGTTCTGGTCTTTTAGAATGTCTCCTTAATTTTACCGAGAGGTTCCAATGATTGAAGGTTTGGAATTTTAAATTTTTATTTTAGGAATGTGGCGAAATTCACCAACTGCTTGGACAATTTAGAGTTTAAACATAGTGGAAAAAGCGATTCCCTCTTTACAATTTTTTAATTTCAAAGTCTGCATGTGCACTTCCACATCCATTATCAAAAAAATTAAATATAAAGGTGTTATGTTGCAAGGTACACCTTATGATGTGATGCAAACTGGTAACATAAGTATGTGTTGCATGGGGGTGTGTGAGGTATTATCTTTGTACATGTAAATTTACTCATATAGATTTCCTGCTAGATCATCAAAAGAGGGGGGGGGGGGGGATATATGTGGAAATGAGATGGATTGAGATGCAAAGAGACAAAAGGTGGCTTTGATAACGTGCCCTGGGTGCTTGAAATTAGCATAGTCCTTGAATTATTGAAGACGCCCCACTCCTTTCCGCACTCCTCATAACTTTACCTAATCTCCATCCCAAAGTTTTACCGACAATTTGTTGAGTAAAGAAAATTAAGATAGCACATTGAACCAGGAACTAACAAATTAATTGAAGATGCTTTGCAACTATAGTAGGAATGATCACATGTTAGCAATCACCGTTTTAACTGTAATCAGATTAATAGGGAAGATTTTAGTGTAAACTTTGTCATTATGTCATCCATAGTCCAAACCTCAAAATATGGTAAAATTGTGAAACTTCGCATATTAAGATCATTATAGACAAAGATTCTCTGCAATAGAAGAATAATCTCGTATAAACCATAATATCATGCCACAATTGAATCAGCCCAGCTGTATGAAGGTGTTTGGAAGTTATGACTTGAAAAAACTGGATGCTAAATCCTCGTGCTGAGTGTCTTTCTGGATCCTTGATGCTAACGTCACCAACTCACCATCAACTTGAATCATAAAGATAGGGATTACTAGAGCTATGAGGAAATGAGTGTTCTATGAATCTATGCAGTATTACTTTACGGCTTTTCGGATGCTGCCATGGTGAGAAGACTGAGAATTATTTAAAGAGGGAGGCAGGAATTGGGAAGGGGACAAATGGAATCCAAGAATTTATGTTTGGTAACTAGTGTAATATTCAATGTGGATAACATGGTACCTCTAAAGTACACAATTTTTCCAAGGTGCTAATAGCATGAATTCAAAACCGAAAGTAGAAAAACGTAGCACCATGAATTTGATCTACTCATTTATCAAGATTCAAGATATACTCCGAAATTCTAATTTTCTGATCACAGTTGAATGAGATTTACTGCTTCCATTTTAAAAATGGAGAATTCATTCTTGTTTGAAGTTTAATTGTTCAGCTGCGTCAGTGTGAATCATCTTTTCGCTTATTCCTCAAAGGACATATTTGAGTTGAGCCTTATTCACTCATACCTGAAAGTAGTGAATTAAAAATTCTGGTATCATGGTTGTTGGATGTGGGCTTCTATTATGCTACTTATACAATTATTAGTTATTATTAAACAACTTGGTTGCTTTCAAGCAGAACCATGTCAAAAAATTAGTTTCCCCCCACTTCACCCAACCCCACTGTTTTCCTTCAGTGGGGTAACTAACTTTTGTTACTGATTTTGCCACCATATACTTCACATATAACTAGCGATTCACATGGCATCAACAAATTATACAAGTCTTGGTTGACCTCGGTTTAATTTGCCTGAAGTTATTATTTATTTATGACAGTTACTTTCGACATGCTTCTGGAGAGATGTTTGCCATATCACAGGAATTGGCTCAGTTTGTATCAATAAACAGGTTATCATTTCTGCATCCTTTCCCTTAGTCTTATTCATACATCAAGATGTTATACACACATTCATGTGTAGTTCTCATTTGTGTGCTGAGGGTTGAGTCAGCTGAAATGAATTCGAAACCTCTGATTGTTTTGCAGGTCCATCCTTCGAACCTTTGCCCATGATGACATCAGTGCTGGATCTTGGTTTATTGGACTGGATGTGAAGCACATTGATGAAGCAAAGCTTTGTTGTTCTTCTTGGTCATCAGGTATATTGTGAATTTTGAACACACCAAGAAAAGATAGGGATAGTAGTGGAGGAGGCTACCTCCCCTTTCTGTGAAATCTACACTGATTGAATGGTTCTGATTTGCAATGTGTATGCCATGTTTATTTTGTAATGTTCAAATTGGTTTGACCAAGTTGTGTAATACTTTTTGAAATGTCATGTTGGAGTGGGCAAATCAATTGGAGTCAGAAACATTCTGTAATGGCAGCTATCATTGTTGTATACTATCTGAATAATGTGCTTGTTAGCATGTTATTCTATCTGTTTTAGGATTGTTGAAACTCTTTCACTTGCACTTGCACAAACTCCACACCTAGAACAGGGGGAAATTCTTTCAGTACTTTGTAATTGGTTGGTTGGGCCCTGTTCGGCCAAACATAGATGTGGGAGTAGTTTATGGCTATAAGATTAATTGTTAGCTGTGATACAGTAGATAATCAAAGTAGGAGTGGTCATGTGAAAATGGATAATTATTCTTTTGGAAAAATGGAACTAATAATCACACCTTTGCCCGGTATTCCCAAAAACAATCTCACCTTTGACACTTAAACCACTAAAGACTTCTCCAAAGCTAGTGCCAAAAGACACCCTTTATCTGTTTTAAGAAGTTCAATTATATTTATTTATATATAAATATATGTGGATCAAATTTGATTTTTGATCCATGTTTCTGTGCTAATGAGCATGATGACTGACATAATTGGAAGAGAATTTTGTTTTCCATTTTCTGAGTCCTTGCAAAGTGAAGGGTTTGTTTGACCTAAGTCTTTGAATTGTTTCAGGTGCTGTATGTGCAGCTGGTTGACTTTTTTTTTTGGTAGAAGCAGCTGGTTGACTTTACATGGCAAGCATTATGTATCTACTCAGTATAAATTTCATGGAGACCATTCTTTAGCCCCAGGCCCTCAGCGTAGGCCCTTGGTTGACATTGAGAATGACCAATCGCTGCCACTGTAAGTTGATTCTGTCTTTATCTTAAGAGCACGAGACCTTCAGCAGCGACCAGCTCGTCAGTTATGTTTCTTAGAATAGGTCACCGCAGACCCTGAAACAACATTGATCAATGATCACAACTTGGTATCTGCCGTTGAGGTTATGCACTTGTAGAGAAGAAGTCCTTTTCCCTTACTGTGTATCATACACCAAATTTTGACACGAAACGTACAGAAAGAAAATCCCCCCCCCCCAAAAAAAAAAAAAAAAAGAAAAGAAAAAAAAAGAGAGATATTATTAGATTCATTACAGTTAATGTAATTTGACAAGTGTGGGATTGAAAAATCAATCTATGCAGCATATATTTTTTGCTCTATTAGATACAATGATCATTTAACTTCTTTTGAGGTTTATTACTGTTAGCCCTGATCCAGATTCCAGAACATATTTGTGCTGGGTAGCTATCATTTTTAAACAGTTTATGAACCACATTCTCAAAATTGGATTACAAGTGTTGCCACCGCCCATAATGCTTGTGTGCCTAATTTTTTAACTGGTAGGTCAAAATAGAAAAGATTCCAGCATTTGGCTTCAGCTACTCACTCTTCTTATGACTAATTTGTTGAATGGTCTTTTTCAGTGTTCTAAGTTAGGTGCATTTGGATTCTGTGGTGCCATTTGCTGATAAGCCAGCTACCAAACTCCCTCTGAGAGTCTTTCCTTGGACATGGTTTGTTTTAAGTCATTTTACTAATTTTGGATTTTCTATTTTTGAAAGTAACCCATCTCTATACGATAAGTGCATTATCACCAAGCTAGTCTTATTTATTGATAGGCATGTGAAGTATTTTTTAGTCATGAGTTGACTTTGCTATCGGGCCTGGCCGTGGTGGCCTATGTTTCAAGAGTGCATAACAAACCAGACCTAGGACATTCTTAAGTTTGCAGTCCAAAGCACGACATGGAGGGCTCGTAACGTCCCCTTAGGTCTTTAGGAGTTTAGGGTCCCTCAAACATTGCATTGGTTAAAAACTAAAGACTAGTGATTTATCCTTGGTTTCGTTACTTAGCATTCTCTATGATGTTCAGGCTAGCAATGGGCTGTCTTGAGTTCAACTCCCCCCACTAGGAATCTTAGGAGAAATTTCTCGTCTACCCCTGCTCTCGAGTTTGGGCTTGTTTTGCCCATCCCCTTCATCAGCATACGGACATTATGGGTTCGTAGAGGATACCATGTCTCTTTCGAGCTTGATCTGAGGCTCTCTTGTCATGGGTCACTGGTAGATCCATAAGTTACATACCATAATTTTAAATCAAATTATTATATAGTATCATAATTAGGCGACCAAGGAGCAAAGCGAAGGAAAGAGGAAATGGAGATGGTTGTTGAGGAATAACTAGCTCGTTCGTAGGAGTAGTTTGTAGAAGCGGTGAATGCCGTTTTGCACGATCATGCATGCGTGCAACTGATGTGTGTAATTGAAATTTGGACTGGTATGATGATGGAAGCACTATTATTCATTTAATTAAGTTGAAAGCTACATTTTACTTGGGAAATAATCAAATTGAATGTGACATCTTTTTAGTTTATTGTCAAGGGGAACGACTATATGGATTATGGCGTTATGTTAATTCCTTACAAACTTGGTCCAATTACTATTATCAGATAAACCATGGGAATTTTCTTTTGATGTGCACTTTCCACTAAGAGTATGAAATACATGCTAGGGAGTACTTTTTTTTTTTTTTAAAAAAAAAAAATGTTATACTAGACGCAATTAAGAGTGTGTTCGACATAACAAGTTGTTGGTAAGTTAGATATTTCAAATTTAGCTTACCGAACATGCCTAAATTTAGAATAAAAATTGTCTTATACATCCAGGTGTATCGTACACCCATGACTATTTGCTCTCATTTTAATGATTGTTTTTTATTTAATTATCAAATGAAGAGCAAAAACTAACCTTGGAGTTAGTTGGGTGCACGGTACACCCGGATGTATAACAATCTCTCGATTTAGAACTACTTTGTAATTGAAGAACGAGTCATGAAGTAGGTTCTTTCACCTCATAAGTACTCAATTTGTATTAGCCGAGATATTCTCTAAACAAATCTAAAATATGTTCCTATGCTATCAGGATACCTAATTTGACATCCAGTAGTTGATTCGAGATTTATCTTAGAAAATTGGGCTCGTCACCCCTAAAAAAAGGAAAGGAAAAAAAAAAAGCACAAAGTGTAGCTTTCAGTGGACAGTGCCCATTTTCATGACATTAAGTTAATCTGACCACAAAAGTAATTTATGTCTGGTAGTTAAGTCATTAACCTGAGTCATTGCATACGTGTTTTTAGCTATTAAGCCTAATTATAAAGCATGGATTAGGCTAATTACAATTAGAGTAATTTTTTATTTCTCAACTGACCAGTTTTTTCCCAATAGATTTTTGCACCTAAATCTTCTGGAATCTTTGCTATCATCAAAATAAAATAAAATTAAAAAAATCAACAAATATTGCTAGCATGAATCTTGAGATTTAGCCATTCCATTTGCTTTCAATATACAAAATTAATACTTCGTATTAATTTAACTTCTTTAATATTTTTTTCAATTCAACTAGTTTGGGTGATCTTTAAGGAATTAACTTCTTTAATATTATGTGACGCTAGCTTTTTTCAAAAAGAGAAAATTAAAAATAAATACTCCCCTCATCAAAATGTTGTATTGGTTTACATTTCTATTCTAAGAATGATCCATTTTATATTTCTATATAATTCTCTCGGATAAAATAAATATGTTCATCACATTTTTTTTTTCCTCGATAAAACAATAGATAACTAACACAATCATTTATCAACCCTATACAATCAAATAACATTGTGAGAATTAGAAAGAGTTAATTTATCAGCTTATCACAATGTGTCAATGGTCTTCGAATAACTTATTGTATCTCAACACACAAATAATAATAAAATAATACTGTAATAATAATAATAATAATAATAATAATAATAATAATAATAATAATAATAATAACTAATCGTAAGTTTACCTCATCTAAGCTGTCATCTTTTTATTTAATTGGTTTATATATTTACAAGGTGATTATTCCTTTATTAGATTAGATGCATCTGGAATTTGGATTGTAAAAGATGCAGTGAATTGTTGATTTGTTTGGAATGTTTGATCTCGTTTCTTAAAAAGATTTCTTACTGCATGGTCTACAATTATTAGATTCTTTTTTTATCTCCTTTTTTTAAAAATTTATTTTATTGAGATATACGTATTTTTCTCAATAATATATTTTTTTTAAATGGATTTTTCTCAATAATATTGGTCCCCTTCTTGCTCTTGTTTCATTGTTGAAGCGCATTTATCGCTGATAATTCTTTTGCAATTATGTAGCACGGGTCTACCGTCTATGCACGACTTATTTTGTCTCATCCTTCTACAAAAAATCCTACTGAACCAAATAAATAAAATAATTAGTTACTAGTAATAAATGCAAAGTAAACAAATACAGTATGAATATAAATAATACGGTGTTCGGTGTACAATGAGAGAAAATATATCAATCTAAAATTTACCTTTGTTTCTTTTTATTTGTAACAAAAATATATTATTGTAAAATTAAAAAAAAAAAAAAAAGTTGTTACTTGGAATTAAATTTTGTCATTTATTTAAACTTGTACGCCTGTAATCCTGTATAAATTATCTATAGGGACTACAAGTACTATTTGCTTTTTTTAAAATAAAAATGAAAACAAATATCTTTCTAAGAAAAAAGCTTTTAGACAATTTCAAGGGCCAAAATAATAAATATCAACATGACTTAAGTAGCTGGATGCAACAACATTAGTTATGGAAATCTGTTTTTATTATTTATGTTTATGTCATCAAACCATAGACCAAAATATAATATGCAACAGACGATTTATGAATTTATAAGAAAAATCAATTACTCTGTAAAATCTAAACCCTGTGATTGCAAACTTGCAAGGCATTCTTGCATAGCTCTAGATCTGCCGACTTCACCTAATAGTAGTACAGTACGTAAACATCTAAACTAACAAACTCAAGGGACCATTTATGTTTACAGACTTTAGTACGAGTATACATTCTAGGAGACGGTAGCAAAATGGGCCTGACAAATAGTAGGACTAACTACCATAACACAAAAGACGAGGACATATGGATCACGTACATGGTGAAGTGGATATTTTACAGAATTAACAGTAGTATTATTTTCCGTTTCTTATTAATTGCAACAAAATTTTAATTTTATTTTTTTAATTTTCTTGAATGTGCATTACGTGATAGTATACATATGCAGTTATGCACAATAACATATACTTCCTCCGTTTCTTTTTAGTTTACACGTTTCTTTAGTCACGTTTGTCAATGTACAACTTCAACCATTCATATATTTAATTATCAATAAACAAAAATTATGAAAATTTGATATTTTAAAACTATATATCGTGACGAATCTAGCAAGATCTCACATGACTATATTTTTTCATTATATATAAAGCACAAAATACGGTCAAAGTGGAGTGTGTGAATAGTACTAAAGTCAAAACGTGTCAACTAAAAAAAAGGAGGTAGTATAGTATTTTTAACAACTCTTTGATTTAAGAACTTGATATTTTAGACAATTGAAGGCGTATCAAATTGCACTCCTGACGTCCACTTTAGCATTGACTACCGTCATCGATCATGAGTAGCCAACAATAGCATTTCTCCCATATATTGACTCTTGTTAAGATGGTATTAATGTGCTATCACTATACGGAGTAATATCCCCCCACTGACACAACTACACTCTTACAAATTGTTTAGCCCATTAATTCGGACCTAATTGATCCTTTTGTCCTGATACATCTCTTCATATTATCTACCGAAAAAGAATAAAAATTTAAAATGCGGAGATTTATATTTATAAAAGTACTTGTATACCACTCAACAAATTATTACTAGTATTAGTAGGATATATGGTTTGAGATGGAATCAAACAGATTTACATAAATAAATAGTGAAATTAATAATATTGTAGAATAAAGAAAATAAAGGATGTGTATGAATGTATTATGCATCTTCCCTAGGATTCTCACGCGTATTTTTAGTTTGGTGCTTTGTGAAGGAATTTACAGGTAAAATAATGTATCACATGATCCCACCATATGAATCCATATCCACATTTCTAGGATCTTTTCACAATTTCTTTCTCACAAATTTCCAATATTAACGGTTTTGGACCTTTGTTAGACTTTTAGCTATTGTGCTATGTGTAGAGACATCAACACAAATACAAATATAGATTATATAGTTTGTACTTTTATTCTTAAACCACATATATTTTCTCAATACATAAATTTGAA